TTGGTGGCGGTCGGAGGGGTGGGGTGGGGTGGGGTGGGGATTAGCTTTATTTATTTAATGGAGGTACTGGAGCCTGAACCAGGACCTCGTGCATGCTAGCATGCGCTCTACCACTGAGCTAAACCCTCCCTCCACAGGTTCCTCATTTTTAAGATGGGTATAATAATGACAAAAACAGCTGTGAAGAATAAAGAAAGTTCATCAACATAAAGCACTAATAACAATGTCTGGAAAGCACTGGATCAACTGTGTTGATGCAGCTGAGAGTCTGTGTAAGGTAAGGACAGAAATGTGCCATAGAGGCTCCCACTGCCCAGAGTCTAACGCAGAGCAGGGGTGCAACGTATAGTTATTGAATGAAGTTATCGAATGAGCAGAGGTCCAGAGCCGGGATGCAGGCCTGCCAACCAACTTCCTTTTGCTCCTGCTACTGTAATCCACTTCCCGCTGGAAGGATGCAGGCCTGGGGTGTGCTGACACAGGAGCCTGGATGAGGGAAGGAGCCATTCGGAGCAGCCAATCTGGTGATGAGGGCGGAGGGACAGAGGAGGAGGATGCCGGAGAACAGATGCTCATTGGTTTACGGATGGCGCTGGGTACTGGGCTCTCTTACTGGTACAGCGACTTCCTGCCTCACACAGCACCTGACACTTAACAGATGCTCAGTTAATATTTGGAGACAGACCAAACTCTCCCCAGTTAAAGGGGCGGGGCCGGGGGCTCTGTGGCTGGTGCCCAAGCAGCCGCTCACGTGGAACGATACCAGGGGCACAAGGATAATCTCCTTTAAAAAGGCCTCCCTGGAGCCAGCTGAGACCTGAACTTCTACCAGGAGACCTGCTCTCAGTGTAGCCTTTGGCGTCTGTTAAATGCCCATATCCTTAACGTAGCTACCCTTCCTGCCGGTGGTCACTCCCTAGTACCTTGCGGGGATAACACAAAAACATGGTGGGTGCCAGATGGAAGTTCATTGCTCTCAATATACTGATCCATTCATTGTTAAAAAGAAACATATGTTTGGTTGTGGGTATAAGCAAGAGGTTCACTGGAAACTGTTGCTCTGTGTGATGTGGTATCAGAAGCAGAAGTCTTATAGTCCTGGATGTATACTTAGGGTTCTCCCAGGGCAGCTGGGGAAGACACAGCATCCGGCTAGAGAGCTGACTGTGTGAGGAGTAAGCGGAGCGTGTGGGCGGTGTGCCTAAAAGATCAGCCGTGCGGGGGTGCTGCCTGTGGTCCTGGTGTGTCCTACGACCCAGGGCCGACTGTTCATGTTACAGTCCGTATGAATGGACCCCCTGGGGTTGTGGGACACGGAGGCCCAGCTACCAGCACATGGTTTCTTTTAAGGAAGTTGTCAGAGCAGAGAGAGAGCTAGATATGAGCAGAGAAAGGGGGGCCCAGGCCAAATGGCAGAAGGCCATACATCATGTGAACAACAGGGATCTTTGGGCAGACAGAAAAGCAGGAACCTTGGGGCTGATAAGAAATCACACATTTTGGGGTGACAGGTGTCCTGGAGGCAGACAAAGAAACGTGGGGAAAGGCAGAAATCTCTAGTGTCCGAGTGTAAATTTGCTCATGGCCTCATTATAATAAAATTAGCCTTGCAGATTTGAAGTACCCATCATGCACCAAGGCTGTAACACTTCCGATCCAGACTCAATAAGGACAAAAATCCCTCCTCCCCACTGGAAGGTGGAGCTGGGATGGAAATCTGGGAATAAGACCCCAGTCCCTTCCCTCCCCAATGAATATTACACGCATTCATTTTTACACCCTATGTAACCAGCTTGCCAAAGAAACTCAGCATGGCTGCTCACCTGAGCCTGTCGCTCCCGCCGTGAGAGTGTACTATCCATCCTTTAATAAGTCCTCACTTTACTTTCTTAACCTCCGTGTCTTGTCTCTGAATTCTTTCTGCAGTGAGACAAGGACCTAACCACCAGCAACAAAATAATCTGTTCTCTCTTCCCTAGTGGATGCTCTGACCCACGCTAGGACAGTCTGAGCAGAAGGACAAAGAGACCCAAGACCCAGATATTCTTCATTTCAGCTGTCCAGTCTAGACCTGTCCACTCTCTGCCTTGCAGCCTTCTCACAGGTTCTGTGACTCCGAGGTAGACTTTCAAGAAAATCCCGTTGCTTTTGTTGGCTGGAGTAGGTTTCTGCCACCTGCAGCTCAAGGACTGTGGTTGCCATGGGTATGGACCAGTCAAAGTCACTCCAGCTGGCTCTCAGGGCACGGGGTGCGTCTAGCTTTGAAGCAGAGTGAGTGTGCCCGTCCACAGGTCTGGCTGGATTCCCTCGGATGCATCTTATGCCCACTTCATGCTTCTACTTGCTGTCCTAAGGGGTACAGTGCAAACGGCTTGACCTGGAGGCAGACCGATGGGTTCAGGACCCAGCTCTCCTACTAAGTGCTGGTGGACGATTTGCTTAACCGTCCTGTGATTCAGCTTCTGCATCTGCCAGACAGAAACAGGAATGCCTCCCCTGCAGGGCATGAAGGGGACTAGAGAGGTTGCAGGTAAGCCCGCAGAGAAGAATGGGGTCCCCAGTTGCTTGTTGTACAGTTATTCAGCAGACGTGAAGGCCAGTGATGTGATGAAGGCTCACGTGGGATACTGGGAACCACACCGAGGCTGGGTTTGGAGACCTTTTTCCTGAGCCAGTGTGCACAACGGCCAAGTTCTGCTGGTGTCTTGGTTTTTATTTTTAGCTTCTGTTTTAAAAAGTGGATGAGTGCTGCTCATTCTTCAAAAAGAATACCAGTCAGATGATCCCCAACATTTTGTTACGTTCTTTTAACGTCCTGAGCTTTGCTCACTTGTGCCTCACTGTTAAGGTCCTTTACTGGGGCGAGAAACTGTCATGAACTCCTTCACTTTACAGTTTCAACTGGAGCTTTTCTGGGGGCCCATGAAGTTCCTGAGAATTTCCACAAGTAACTCATAAAACTGTCTTTTTTTTTTTAACCTGATGAAACAACACCTAAAATTAAATTCTCACTCCTTCCTTTTTCAGATCATCTCCGATTCTGAGATTCCTTTAATTAACATCCTCACACTCCAGTACTATAAAAAGAGCCCCAGTGTATCTGTACCCGCTTCCTCCTTTCCTTCGCTTGGAATCTTGATCAGTTTTTCATGTGCAGTAGATTAAAAAAAATTCACCTTCCTGCTTCTGAACACATGAAGTCTTTTCTGCCAATCGTCTTTATTTTTTAGACCCAGATCTTTGTGTGCTTGGTGCCTAGTGTCTTCTGAGAGAAGAAATGCACTTTTAAATTGTGGTAATAAAAGATCCCTAAGGGTTTAGGTTTAGACCAGCGTGAGGCCGGGGGCTGCATCCTGCCCTCCAGCATCTTGTGCTCAGTCACCAGCTCAGATGCTGGCCCGGAAGGAAGTGCTCGCTGAGTGTGTGGATTCCATTACGCGGAATTGCGCCACTTCCTAGACCTTGCTAGTATTTTACAGGAATCCCCTCCATTCTTTCAAGTTTATTACAAAAACGCTATCAGTGTTTAAGC